AGTGTGGTCTTTTATGTCTGAATCTGTTTTACTGTGAATCTGTAATTTTTTCACTATCCAGGAGCATTTCTTAAAATGTTAAGCAGTTCTTAAAAACTTAAGTTGCACCATGTACAGGTAATACGGTACTCCCTGTGTCCTGCCCAGTTAAACCTTAACTGCGCAGTTTTAAGGTAATTACGGTAGTTCCTGCCTGAGATCAGCACAGTTCAGCATGGAGCAGCGGCTCCTGCCTCAGAGTCATTTGGTGCTTCCGAGCTGAGCACAGTTCCAGGCACACAGCAGTTCACATTGGAGCCACAATTAGCAGTTTAATTCTGAGACTGAGAGTGCAGCACAGAAACTCTTTTCATCCAAGTTACAGCCAAATCTGACATGCAGAGCACTGCGCAGTCTGAAAACGCATCTCTGTATGGCGGCAGGAATCCGCCATGCTCTTCCGCCTGCCTAAGCCTGATTCGGCCTTCTGCCCAGGTACAGGCGGGGAGCGCTGAGCCATCATTGGCACAGTCTCAGAGCACTCTCCTCCGATCCCAAGCGGGAACACAAACATCCAGTCCCATTTAAAAGCCTTGAAATGCTTTAAAGCCAGAGTTCACGCTGGCAGCATAGCCCCCAGGAAGCTGCGCTTTAAAATGACGCAGCTTTTTTTCTGTTGCTGTTGCTGAGTCAGGAATCTCTCTGCAGCACGCCATCAAGAAACAGCAAAAATCTGTTTTAAACTCTCTCTCCCTTATTTTTAAGCCTTCTCAGGTTTTTAAGTGGATTTAGCCCATCACTTCCGAGCACCATCTGTTGAAATAGGAGCGGCGGCGCTGCGTCCCCGGCACCCGGCCGCCCGCATGGCTAGCTTATGCCCGAAATAATTACACGGAAACTGTATTCTTTCAAACACTGCCTGGACCGGCTAGTTCTAGCTTCTTATTGGCTAGCTCTTATATATTGTTCTAACCCATTTCTAATATTCTGTGTAGCCCACGAGCTGGCTTACCAGGGAGGATCTTAACCTGCGTCTGTCTGGAGCTGGAGAATCATGGCGACCCCTTGACTAAGCTTCTTTTTCCCAGCATTCTCTTCTGTCTACTCCGCCTACCTAATTTTCTGACCTATGAGGGCCGAGGCAGTTTCTTTATTATTACAAGACCCACCTCCATCAAAAGATGTGTGGTGTTGCCAGGCAGTAGTGGCGCACGCCTTTAATCCCAGCACTTGGGAGGCAGAGGCAGGCGAATCTCTGTGAGTTCAAGGCCAGCCTGGTCTACAAGAGCTAGTTCCAGGACAGGAACCAAAAAGCTACAGAGAAACCCTGTCTCAAAAATCCAAAAAAAAAAAAAAAAAAAAAAAAAAGATATGGGTTTTAGTTATTGATTCATTACATGTGAGAAATATACCATATAGATATATGACGCTAATGATGGGGGAACTTGAGTGTAGAATATCTAACCTTCTGTGAAATCATTCTGTAAATCAAAAACTATTTATTGTAAAATAAATCATTTACTCAAATAACTGGCTGTTTTACAACCAGGTTGTATAAAAATTGGCAGTAATCCTAGGCAAGTAATCATTTGCAGAACATTAACCTGATTTCCCCTAAACTGCATTTTCTAGCAAATTCTGTATTTTTGTTGGATTTGACTATCTTGATACTTTTATTCCCATACATTAGTTAAAAACATAAAATATGAAAACGATTTTAAGTGGACATTCTTAATGGACTTGAATTATATGTAATTTTTCCTAAATATTTAGTCTAAGTAATTTATTGTCTATACCAATCCATCTGATTCCTTTTCAGGCAAGGCTCAAGGAAACCATTAAAAGAAAGGAGTACGGTTCAAGAGGGCTCGCTCTGTAGTGCTAGAATCTGTTACCAGTTGCAACCAGTTTCAGAAACTAAAAAAAGAACGGGTTTAGCTCTGACTCACACACACCATCAATAGAATTAATCTTAATTTGGGGTGTGCGCCTCTCAAGCGATTTTTAAAATCCAGTTAGTGGAAAAATGAATGCCTGCAGGTAATCCCTTACCTAGACTGCTCAGTTAGGTAGGCTGTCTCACGTGAGCAGGGCTGACTAGTTTACCCTTCAGGTTTCTCCTTTGGAGGAAGGCAACCTGTGTGCTGGGGGAGAAGACCTGAGAGTCTGGAGTAAAAATAGAACCGTACAGCGGTTTGAGTTGAAAGTGACCTTAGAAAGAGCTAACATAAAAAGAAAAGGCAGATGGAGCCTTTAAAACGAGCTAATTTTAGAACACTTATCGTTTCCTATGTGTGACTACCAAATACATTTTCCACAGCTTTACTTACTCTGTTGCTACATAAAATTAGGAAATTAGGCTCTTACTGGTACTATGTTAGGCTTTGCTAAAACAAAACAAAAATAAAAACAGAAATTGTCTTCAAATGGTATGGGTTTCCTGGATAACTTATGGGCCAGGCCCTAAAATTAGCACTGTAGGATACCATATGTACAGCATGTAAAATTTGCACGTCATAATTTTCACTTTGCAAACGTGTACAGCATTTATTATGTGCAAAAAGTGCCCAAGAGCAATTTCTAATTGTGCTACCCAAAAAAGGATTTGTATTTTGAGAGGGGAGAATCAAGCTCAGTTAAGCTTTTATTTATAACCCGTGTCCTCAGCCTTTCTGCAAAAAAGGCAAAATCTTTTTTTTTTTTAATGCAGCACAACGAAGGATTCGGATACATTCAGACTCCACAGAACAAGATCACACATCATGAGCTGTGTCCACGCACAACGGAAGTCTCGCTGAGGACCTAAAGGAGTGCCTTTAAAACTTGTCGGCCCGCGGCTAGCCCACGGCGGCCACGCCGCTAGGTTCCGGGAGGAAGGCGGCGAGGCGGGGCTGGCGGCCGTGCTAGGCTGCTTCCTGCCCCCGCGGTCGGCGAGACGTGGGGAGCCCGAGCTGGGACCCCGGGCCCAAAGGCACACGGCGGACGTGGGGGGGGGGGAACGACAGCCCACGCGAGGGACGAGATCGCAACCCACACAACCTGGGGGAGGGGAGGGGAGAAGAGAGTGAGCGGCTGGCACCGAGCATGCTCCATTCTAGGAGAGCCAGGCATGCGCAGTGCGCTGGAGGGGGGGGTCTGGCGGCGGGGCAGGGCGGGGCTGGCGTGAGCGGGCTAATGTGTTTATCCGGTTTTCTGGGTGGGCGGTCAAAGCGCACGCGTCAGGGCGAAAGGCGGTAGGGTCGAGGGGGGAAGGGGGGGGCCCGCGCGTGCGCCGTGCGAGCCGGTAGCTCCGGGAGGGCGTGGAGGGGGCTTTTAGAGGAGAAGCCGGGGAAAAGGGAAGCGGAGGGAAAGGAAGGGCGGAGGGGGAGGGGGTGAGAGCGCGTTGTGCGCATGCGTGCGAGGGCTAGCGACGACGGCGGCGGGGGAGTCTCGGGGATGACAGTGTCTTTGCCCGTTGGGGTAACGGTCGTCGTTACCGGGCGGGCCTGACGCGCCGCACCATCCGCCACGGCCGCAGCAGCCCCGGCCCAACCGAGCTAGAGCGGCGCGTGAAGGCAGGGTGAGGGCGGCCAGGCGCGAGGGAGGGGCCTGCAGCGGGCCTCGTCGTGCGCGCTGGGCGGCGGCGGCCTGGCGGGGTGAGCTCGCTCGAGCCGCGGCTGGGCAGGCGGCGGCGGCGGTGGCGGTGGCAGTCGCAGTCGCGCTTGGAGGACTCGTCGGTGCCGGGCTGAAAAGATGGCCGGGCTGTGAGGGGGCGGCGCTTGCGCTGGTGACCCCGAGTGTGTGCGGCTGAGGAGCGAGGGGCGCCGCCGCTGCCTGCCGGGCCTGTTCCCCGCCCCCTCCTGCCGCCGCGGGCCCGCGCGCACTTCCTCCCGGGCCTCCCTTTCGGGCGGGGGCCTCCCGCCCGCCGCGCCAGGCGCAGCGTGGGTCCCGCGTCCGGCATGGCGAGAACGGCAGCGGCGCGCGCCCGCCGCAGCAGCAGCAGCAGCAGCACCACCACCAGCAGCAGCAACCTCGGCCGCCGCAGCTGCTGGCACTAAACCCGGGAAGCCGACGCCTGCGCGGTAGTCCTCGTCGTCCCGCTGCCTCCGCGCCGGCTGCGATGGAGTAAGGGTCCAGCGGCCAGAGAGAAGAGTGTCCCGCCTGGACCCCACCGGGCCCGTTCCTGAGCGCGCCAGCTCCATCCGGAGGGGCCTCCGCGGCCGGACATGCTGCACGAGCGCAGGCCGCCCGCCGAGCCGCGGGGCTAGAGCGAGCGCCGATCCCGGCCGGAGCAGCCAAGCCGCGGCTGTCTAGGACGAACTCGAACCCTGTTTTTTTTTTTTCCCCCTCTCTTCGGGCTGCAAGTCTCAGGGACGGAGGAGGGGCGGTAAGGCCCCATGTGTGGGAGGATCGCTTCAGCTTCACAAACTCGCACGGATTTTGGTTGCTGCTTGGGCCAGCGGTTCTGCTCAGATTTCTTCCGAATTGTTGTAAATTCGCCATTGTTCCCCGGCTGCTTACAAACTTGGATCCGGAATTTCTTTTCAACCGGGAGCCATTGGTGTCGAAGTGTCTGCAATGAACCCCGTGAATGCTACTGCTCTCTACATTTCCGCGAGCCGCCTAGTGCTCAACTACGACCCCGGAGACCCCAAGGCGTTTACCGAGATTAACAGGCTCTTGCCTTACTTCCGACAGTCCCTCTCTTGCTGTGTTTGCGGTGAGACGCTTTATTGTTCCCCTTTCCCTGCCTGTTTTCTCGAGGCCCCGTGGCAGTAGGAGCGCGAACGGTTGGCCGGCTCGGTAGTTTACTGTAAGCGGTGCCACTGTGCCGTAGTGTACGGTCATTAGTTTTGAAAACTCGCCCAGGGACTTTTGCCCGGCGTTTCAGAAAGGGGGAAAACCTTTCCCGGCCACTTTGGACGGCGGCTTTAACGTTCAAAACGGTTTAATTCGTTCGTCTTGACCCATCTCTCTGGTGGTGGTTTATTTTTTAAGTATAGCTTTAAAAAAATTGCTTTGACAGCGTCACATGCAGTGGTGATGTCTTAAATGGGGTTGAGATGCCCGTAGCATGCTGCCTTTTTCTTTCTTTCTAAAGCCTTTGCTGCAGAAACGGATTGAAAACCGCTGGGATTAAAATGTGGTCGAACATTGTTACATATCCGTGTAACGTTTTTGCACCCGTTAAATAATTGTGGATGGTGTAATCTCGCTGCACCTCCAGCCAGACACCTCAGTGCCCCTGGCTCTACAACAAGCTTGAAGGTTAGCAGTGACCTAGTGAAGCTGATGCTACTCCTTTTTTTTTTTTTTTAAAATTTTATTTTATGTACATTGGTGTTTCTCCTGCATGTATGTCAGTGTGAGGTTGCCAGATCATAGAGTTAAAGACAGTTGTTAGCTGCCATGTGGGTGCTGGGAATTGAACCTGGGTCCTCTGGAAGAGCAGTCAGTGCTCTTAACCACTATACCATCTCTCCAGTCCCCATGGTACTCTTTAGTTGTTTTTTTTTTTCCCCAAGATTAGTTTTTCTGTCATTTTAATGTCTGGTGGGTTGGCAGAGTTTTTTTTTTTTTTTTTTTTTAAATGAAAGACAGGTTCTCACTATGTAACTTAGGGCTGACTTCGAACTTGTGTGATTCTCGTGTCTCTGTCTCTCGAGCGTCGGTATTTCAAGCCTGCACAAACCATGTCCGGTTTCAGAGGATTATTTTTAGATGATTTTGTTCAAAGGGTATTAACCCCTGATGGTTACGACATTTAAGAATTATTTGTAAGAGATGAGGAAAAAATAACATTGTCTAATTGGAAGTATTTAAAGGGCCAGTCATTTGTGTTAACTGGGCATATATAATAACTAAGTAGTTGACACTTGAAAACCAGAACCGTTATCCTCGGTCTCTCTTGAGGTCGTATAAATCTTCCACCTATTAAAGGAAAAAAAAAAGCAAAGTGCACACACAGCAGGAAACGTTTAATAAAAGGGCAACAAGCAAGGTACTGATGGTGCACTCCAGTTAATGTGCTCATTTGAGGTTTGTTAATCTGCATGTTCAGTACGAATTTAAGGGTGGAGACACTTTAAACGGGGAAGAGTTAATTTCTTGGTAGTAATGGCTGATGGGTAGAACTGATTGACCCAGCCTTTGTGTATCGCTCAGGGCAGGTCACTGAAGGGTATGGAAAGGGTGAAGATTGGATTTCTGCTCGTCAGGTACTTAATCTCATTTAAGAAACCAAGTGATTTAGCACTGTTATGAAGAGTACTTTTATTGGTCACTTAGGGAAAATCGCCTAACTGCTTTAGGTCTCCTGTCTTGCTGTGTAAAATGAGGGCTTAGGGCTAGATTCTGATTGGCTTTCAGTTGAAGGATAACCAAGGGAAGCATATGGAGAATTTGCTTGGTTTAATTAATGATTCTCCCTTTTGGAGTCTCACTTTTAATTTTTGATGGTGCTGGCTCTCAGGTGCCTATTGAAGAGCACTCTCTGCTTCATAGAGATACTTCATAGAGTGTTCCTAAGATTGGCTTCTCCATTGACACTTCTGGCTTTGTTTTTTTTAGGAGTGTAGGTGAATTTGTTGCCCTGGTAAAGTAGGGGCAAGAGGTCAGTAGGGTAGCTAGCCACATGGCCACAAGGGAAGCCATTATCGGCTAGCACTATAGCCTCCCCTTCTCTAGATGGGTGGAGGAGCCTAAGATCTGCTAGGAAGTGGCGATTTTAGATAGTGCTTAGGTGTTTGGAACTTTGGAATCTTATTTTTTGCGTTGCTAAGTGTAGAACCCAGGACTTTGAGCATGCTAGATAAGCAAAAGCATTCTACTGATGAACTACAATCTTTATTTTTCTGAGACAGGATCTTATTATGTATCTAGGCTAGCCTCAAAACTGGAAACCTCCTGCCTCAGCCTTCTGAGTACAAGGATTGCTTCTTGCGTGTGCCACCAAGTTGGGTGGACTTTTAAATTATTTAAAGAAGTTTCATAGTCGTGGTGGTCTAATTAAAAATGGGCTTAATAATTTAAACACAAGCTTAAAAGCACATTAAATATAAAACTACATTAAAAGATTACTTTTACATGTATGGATGTTTTGTCTGAAGTATGTATATGTACCACATGTATGCTGTGTCTGGGGAGGCCAGAAGAGAGTGTCTATCCTCTGGGTCTGACTGTTGTGAGTTGCCATGTAGGTGCTGGGAGTCAAACTTCAATCCTCTGGAAGAGCAGTCAGTGCTCTTAACTGCTTAGCCATCTCTCCAGCCTCAAAGTTACACCTAAGAAAAACCTAACTCTGTAGTCTGTTTATTTTAATACTCAGCCTTGGCAGCACAGTCGATATTTTATGACTGTGGAACTTTTGTGATTATCTCTTTGGTTCTTGCCTCCTTTCCTTTTTCCCCCCCTGGTTTTTCGAGACAAGGTTTCTCTGTAGCCTTGTTGCCTGTACTGGAAATAGTTCTTGTAGACCAGGCTGGCCTCGAACTCACAGAGATCCGCCTGCCTCTGTCTCCCAAGTGCTGGGATTAAGAGGCATGCACCAGATTAAAAGGCATGCACCACCACCACCCAGTTTCTTCCCTTTTCATTTTATGGAAAAGATTTGCGGGTTGTCTATAATGCCATTTCAGCAGTAGGAACATAGGTCTAGGTTTTTTCTCCCAATACCCACTTAGCTCAATAGCATACACTCATTAATAGTATGCATGGCATTTTTATTTCATTAAAATAATACATTTTGTAAAAGGTTTAATTCTGTTTTGGTGCTGTAAATAGGATGTTTAATTTCACCAGGTCCTCTGATGTCTGCTGTACTCCTTTCTGTATTTTGTGGTTAGCCTCTCTCTCCAAACAGTGTTTCTATTCCAGCCAAATAGATGTTTTTACCTTTACAAACATGGTTTTTATATTTTTCTTCTTTTCCCTTTCTTCTCTTTATGGGGCTTGAACCTAAGGATGTGTTGTTGACCTAGTGACTTGCTTCCTCAGCCTTCTTGAATACCTGGCACCACAGTCCTGCACCACCAGGACCTGGCTTTCCTAAAGTTCCTTTTGCCTTAAGATAATGCTCATTTTCTGTAATGGTTCCAGAGCTCATTAACTTCCTTTGGTGAATTTTCCCTTGCTCTCAGGCCAGCAAAAAGTTCTCTTGTCTTCCGAACTTCTGTAACCCTTTGTTCTAATAGTTATGGTATTTTATCATTCCTTTCAATGCAGTTTTTATAGTCGTCTTAGTGTTCCGGTGTCTATAAGAAAGTTCTTAGGGAAAATACTGGTTATTGTACATGTTTGTGTAGCTCCTTTCACTCTTTCCTGCTCTGTACAATGGAACATCTCAGAGAGAAATGAAGCGAGGAGGGAAGGAAGGGAAGGTAAAAGCCCTATGTATTTGTCGTGTTCTTTCCTTGACTTTTCTTCTTGTCTTAGGGTTTCATTTCTTTTCTGTCTGTCTTTCTGTTTCTCTTTCTCTTTCTCCCTTTCGTTTTTTGAGACAGGGTTTCTCTGTAGCTGTGGAGTCTGTCCTGGAACTAGTTCTGTAGTCCAGGCTGGCCTCCAATTCACAGAGATCCGCCTCCCTCTGCCTCCTGAGTGCTAGGATTAACTGTATGTGCCACCACCACCCTACTTTTTTTTTTTTTGGATTTTCAAGACAGGGTTTCTCTGTGTATACTACTGGCTGCCCTGGAACTTTGTAGGGCTTGAACTCAAGAGATCTGCCTGCTTGCCTCTGCCTTGGATTAAAGGCATGCCTAGTTGATTTTCTATTGCTGTGAAGAGACTCTGACCACAGCAACTATGTGTTTCTGTTTTTTTTTTTGTTTGTTTGTTTTTTGTTTTTTTGAGACAGGGTTTCTCTGTATAACAGTCCTGGCTGCCTTGGAACTTCCTTTATAGACCAGACTGGCCTCGAACTCAATGAGATCCATCTGTGTCTGCCTTCTAGTGTTGGGATTAGAGGTGTGTGCTGCCACCGCCAGCTACAGCAGCAGGTCTTAGAAAGGGCGTTAATTGGGGGTGGCTTACAGGTTCAGAGGGTTAGTACATTATTGCCGTGGTAGGAAGCATGGTGGCCTCACAGACAAGAGAAGTAGTTGAGTGTTCTACATCTGGATTGGCAGGCAACAGAAAGAGAAACACTGAGCCTGGGTTGAGCTTTTGAAGCTTCAAAGGCCAGGCCAAGGCTGCAAGTCCTTATCTTCTCAAATAATGCCACTCCCTACAAATCTGTGGGGGCCATTTTCATTCAAACTACCACACTACTGAATTATGGTACACAAGTTGCTTTAAAATTTGCTTTAGTTTTCTTTATCTGTTTTTTTTTCTTAAATTCGAGTTATGTGTGGGCTTTTTTTTTAAGATTTTTTTTTTTTTAATTTTATCTTGTACTTGAGTGCGCCAGGGGGTGTGCAGGTGCCCTAGGAAATCAGAAGATGGCATTAGCTCTTGTGGAACTGTAGTAACAGTGTGTGCTGGGAGGTGCCTTTTCTTTTTTTGGTAGGTGGTGCTTTTAACTGGCGAGCTGTCTCTCCAACTCTGGTGAATGTTCTGCTTATTTTCTTTTTCTTTTTTGAGAGAGAGAGGATCTCACTATGTAGCCCTAGCTGGCCTGGAATTTCTGTGTAGACCAGGCTGGCCTCAAACTCACTGAGATCCACCTGCCTCTGCCTCCCAAGTGCTGGAATTAAAGGTGTGCACCACCACCGCCTGGTGAGG